TTCATTTTTCTGGTTTCATTCTCGTCCAGCCCCCTTTTTAACGGTTTTTCGAAGCCTTTTTTCACTTTAGAAACACCGATGCACGCAGTTTCTTCACCTCAGTCGCACTAGTTTCGATTTTGTCTTTCACTTTTCATAATAATCTGGATCACCCAAAATTATCGTGAACTGTGCCTTTAAGTTTGGGATAAAAGTTTTTGGGATATTGCTGATAGAGATCTGCCAAAGGGAATCTGGCCTCAGCACAGCCTCAGACGATGCCTGATCACTCTAACTGCGTTGTCATAAGAACACTGATTACCACGCAACGATATTCGGAAAGCTGAAGCTCACCATTGTTCCTTCCGCAACTCGCTGTGGTTTCAGTACGTCCTTGGAAGCTTTCTCGAAACAGTTAATATCTGGACCATGCGGTGTCATCATCGAGTGCAGTGAACCACCTGAAAACTCAGCTTTTAGCTTTCATCACTCCCATGTTAAAGATTCCGCTACTGCACTATCCGTAACAATTCTTACAAGCCCCTAAATCGAACAGTTACCGCTAGGGTTTTGAGGTTATTACTACATTTTTATTTTTTTCATTACTTTTCCTATTCCTTCTTTCCCTGAATGGGCTAGGAAAATACTAAAATAAAACTGCAGGCGTAGTAATAATGCTCAGACCAGTATAAATGTAATTCTTCCCAAAACCTTTGCAATGCACACCGCACATTACCAAGTATCGTAACCTGAATTAATTTTTTTAAAATTTTAATTTTCAACTAGAGTGAGGTTAAAGATCATAAGCAGAATTTTTTGCTGAGTTAAACTATAAGAGTGATATGTTCAGTACAAGTTAATAGGTTGGAAAGTGGAAGAACGAGTTGAATTGGCTCACCTCCAGGACGGAATCCTCCCTCTTTGGCTTCGTAACATCCGACGATAAGCCCCATGTACTCTGACATACAATTTCCTAAAACGAGAAAATGAAAGTATTGTAATGTTAGACCTCTTATAAATATTTATCACAGTACAAAAAGATAGGTTTCAATGGTTACTAGTAATGGATAGATCATCCTCATTGTTGAAAGAAGAATAGAAGCTACAAAAACTCTCAGGCATCTCTTAAAGCTAATGTATGATGACTCATAGATCTAAAAGCCATGGAATATCTCCACTAGCTCTCAAAACAACTTATTTTCATTGACTTAATGGGAACACGGGTAACCTTATAAAACATTTCAGAATGACTACAACTAAATTCTCTTCTTAAAGGCACAGTCCACGATAATTTTGAGATACCCGTTTTATTCGAAAAGGGTAGTATAGATTGGGAATAGTTCATCGGTAGTGGAGAAAGCAAGAGAATCCGCTGATTTCGAGAAAAATATGGCTCCTCAAAATTAGGGAAAATAAAGGTTGGACGAGATTGTCATGACGGAAATAAAACGTAAGGGTTATTCGGACGAGGTTTCAGTTATTGCAATTGCACAAAGAGCTGACTACATCAAGCCAGAACTGTACGGAACTGTCTTTCACT